TTCAAGGCACTCCTTTTACTTGGATGGGGAGTATGATAAAAGGTCCCGTCCTCAAAAAACTGGATAGGGTTTTGATGTCAAATGAATTTTCTCAACTAAACTGTAACCTCTCCCTTAACAAACTCAACGAATGCGTCTCTGATCATAACCCTCTCCTTCTTTTTGAAAATCTGCCCTTCCCTCGGGCCCAGATTGTTTTAAATTTCAGCACATGTGGACAAACCATTTAACTTTTCTTGAAACTGTCAAGGCAAGGCCTCCTGGGACCTTCCCTGAGGTGGCTATGGCATGTGGAGATTTTCAACCAAACTCAAGCGCATTAAGACTTCTCTTAGAGATTGGAACAGCCACATTTTTGGTAATATTTTTGACAAACAGTCTGAAGCTGAACAGGAAGTCACAGTTCTGATTCCCCTAATAAAGGGGACCTTTTTCTGCTTAAATATGCTCAGGCTAAATATATTCAGTACTCTGCCCATATAAATACCTTTTACGGTCAGAAGGCTAAAATTAAATGGCTAAAGGAGGGAGATGCAAACTCAAAGTTTTTCCATCTCTCCCTAAAAGCCAAACATTAAAAGCTCATGAAGTAAACAATCTGCCGGTTTGAAAATCCAACCACAAGACTTTGATTCAATAAATAAATACATGTTTTTTCAATGAATAATTTTACATGCAATTCGGCACTGAAAGTCTGTTTCTTGGATTCTTCATCCTATCTATTAAATTCCAAAAATCCCGTAATGCTCCAACAGTTTACGGGATTTTTAATTTTGCATTAATGGATACGGTTTTTGTCGGCAGTGCACTTAAGCCAAGCCAACTGATCTTGACAACTTTTGTTAAGATAGTTATTTTTTGTATTTCGATTTATGCATTTTTCGGAAATGATTAATATGACAGTGTAGTCTCTTATGATTTTGTATGTTTCGTGAACCATCATATGAATATAAGAAACTCAAGCATCATAGATTGGAATATTGATTTTTTTTGGTGATGATTTTCTTTAAGATATGAGTAATGTGCTTCTCAGATTGTCATTCAAAAAGAAAAAGACTTTCAATGAGATTGAAACCTAATAACTAAAAAGTGTAAATTTTCATCATCCCCTATAAGATATCTTATATGGTCAACGTACAACTTTTTACTTTGGGCACAGTACAACCCCAAAAATCACCTAATTCTAAAACTTTCCAACACATTTGTTTTGCTTGTGTAATTGTAGAAAAAAATAGGAGAACCAAAACGACGAAAAATAGTAGAATTACGCCACAAAGAGACTTGCGAGCTAGTGACTATTGTTGAAATACTGCCAATGATAACTGTTGGAGTTGTTGGGTATACTAAAACACCTCGGTCTTCGTTGTCAAAGAGTTGTTTGGGCTCGACATCTGAATGGGAGCTAAGGAGGAGACTTTTCAAGAACCTGGTGCAAGTCCAAGAAGAAGGCATTCACAACCATTCACCTAAATATGAATTAGAGGAGGGAAAGAAGGATATCCAGGCACAGCTGAAGAAATGTTGTTCTCTGATTCGTCTATTGCGCCAGTTCTTGAAAGGTCTTCTCCTTAGCTCCCTCATTTGGTGTTTATACTAAAACCAAACAGTGTCCTAGTATGCCCAGCAACTCAAACAATTATCATTTATGGCGCTTCAACAATTGTAGTTCTCTTTTTCGTTTTAATTCTTTTCTTCTTCTTCTTCTTCTTCTTCTTCTTCTTCTTCTTCTTCTTCTTCTTCTTCTTCTTCTAGAATTACATTAGAAACCTGTAAAATTTGGTAATTTTTGGAATTGTACTGTGCCTAAAGTTGTATGTTGGAATTGTAATGTGCCTGAAATTTGTTAATTTTCAAATCTTTTATTATCAGACTTCTCTACAAAAAAGAGATTCTTGCATTGTCTCGTTTTCCGACAAAATGAGTATATCCAGTGTAGATCCAGACACCCTTGGATTATACATGGATTTACGATGTGGATTTCTCGATGGTATCCTGTTCTTGTTTGGATTCAATTCCTCTTTGAGCTTTGCTCAAATTTCTGCCAACCCCTCCGATGTGACAAACCCACGTTGGACAAAAAAAGGCCGTCTCTGGCCAGAATACAGGTGGAGATCAACCTCCTCAAGCCAATACCAGATAAATTCTGGCTGGAGGACGATGGCTACGAAGGCGTTTGGCAGTATATTATTATTGAGGAGCAACTCCCATTTATTGTACTAAATGTTTCCATATCGGTCACAAAGAGAGCAGCAATTGCTCCAAACGGACCAAACCTAAACTTCCCACTGCAGGTGCATTAGAGAACACCATAGAACCTATTCCAGCAAAGGATAAAGGGAAAATGGTTGTTCTTATCACTAACAATCCCACTAGTCAGAATATTTGAAAACAAAGTTTCCTTGTCTTGAAACAGGTGTACCATCTGGAGTGGACAAGGATGTCAATGATGACACCCATCCGGAATGTTTTGAGGATGCACTCCAACATTTGGATGGTCGGCCAAACATCCCAGTTGAGACCCCAACCAATGAAGGGGCACCCAATGAAAAAACTGCGGGACGTATTCACTCTGAACTTCAAAATTCTGAAACCCAAACACCTGACCTTCTTAACGAGGTGAAAAAATTATTCATACTGTCACCATAACTGATCCCCCCTCACACTCACCTAAACCCCAAATCCCAAATAATCTGGTGCTTATCCCCCTAATCTAAGTAGATGAGGATGATATAACAAATATGGATATGGAAAAGGACCCCAGAGAGACCATCTCTGATGGGGAACCATCCACCAAATCCAAATAAAAATGCCACAGCTCTTCTGCCCCCCTCCAAACAAGTTGGAGAAAACCACAAAATGCCCGATGATCTAAGGCCCAAAAAATCTGCCTACCTTCCTGTTTTTAATGATTAGTTTCCTTTTTTGGAATATTAATGGGATTGGGAATACTCAATCCTCTGATAGATTTAAACTTCTTTGCAAAACCAATAAAGTTTCTTTTGCTGCTATTATTGAACCTAAATTTCTGACGGAAAACTGCACAATAGAATGAGGATTTTTGGTTTTAATCACGCCTTGTCTCACTGGCGCGACAAAATGTGGCTTCTTCGGAATAACAGTATATCTGTTACGGACTTCACACAGTGCATTAACCTTTCTGTCATCACACACCATACTGACAAACCTAATTTCATATCTATTATTTATGGTGCAAATGACAGGATCAATAGAAGATCTCTGTGGAATGATCTTACTACTTTCTAAGATCGTATTGGCTCCCAGCCTTGGCTTGGCTCTTAGCTGGGGATTTTATTGTTATTCCTACCATTGATGAGCACAAAGGTAATAGTACTCCTAATCCTCTTGACAATAATGATTTTAACGACTTCATCTTTGCCAACAGTCTATCTGATCTCTCTTTTCAAGGCACTCCTTTTACTTGGATGGGGAGTATGATAAAAGGTCCCGTCCTCAAAAAACTGGATAGGGTTTTGATGTCAAATGAATTTTCTCAACTAAACTGTAACCTCTCCCTTAACAAACTCAACGAATGCGTCTCTGATCATAACACCTCGGTCTTCGTTGTCAAAGAGTTGTTTGGGCTCGACATCTGAATGGGAGCTAAGGAGGAGACTTTTCAAGAACCTGGTGCAAGTCCAAGAAGAAGGCATTCACAACCATTCACCTAAATATGAATTAGAGGAGGGAAAGAAGGATATCCAGGCACAGCTGAAGAAATGTTGTTCTCTGATTCGTCTATTGTGCCAGTTCTTGAAAGGTCTTCTCCTTAGCTCCCTCATTTGGTGTTTATACTAAAACCAAACAGTGTCCTAGTATGCCCAGCAACTCAAACAATTATCATTTATGGCGCTTCAACAATTGTAGTTCTCTTTTTCGTTTTAATTCTTTTCTTCTTCTTCTTCTAGAATTACATTAGAAACCTGTAAAATTTGGTAATTTTTGGAATTGTACTGTGCCTAAAGTTGTATGTTGGAATTGTAATGTGCCTGAAATTTGTTAATTTTCAAATCTTTTATTATCAGACTTCTCTACAAAAAAGAGATTCTTGCATTGTCTCGTTTTCCGACAAAATGAGTATATCCAGTGTAGATCCAGACACCCTTGGATTATACATGGATTTACGATGCGGATTTCTCGATGGTATCCTGTTCCTGTTTGGATTCAATTCCTCTTTGAGCTTTGCTCAAATTTCTGCCAACCCCTCCGATGTGACAAACCCACGTTGGACAAAAAAAGGCCGTCTCTGGCCAGAATACAGGTGGAGATCAACCTCCTCAAGCCAATACCAGATAAATTCTGGCTGGAGGATGATGGCTACAAAGGCGTTTGGCAGTATATTATTATTGAGGAGCAACTCCCATTTATTGTACTAAATGTTTCCATATTGGTCACAAAGAGAGCAACAATTGCTCCAAACGGACCAAACCTAAACTTCCCACTGCAGGTGCATTCGAGAACATCCCAGTTGAGACCCCAACCAATGAACGGGCACCCAATGAAAAAACTGCGGGACGTATTCACTCTGAACATCAAAATTCTGAAACCCAAACACCTGACCTTCTTAACGAGGTGAAAAAAACTCATATTCTCACGTCAAAAATTATTTTCATTGGTGTGACACTCCGAAAATTTAAATAAAATAATTAATTGGGTAAAACTTTGACTTAAGTAATAAAAATGACATCTTTAAGATTACTTATAATTAATAATTAAATAAAACATACGTAGCACATTATATGCGTATAAGACACCTAATATACATATAGACGTATAAAGTGATCATATACACTAGTGTAGAAAATTAACTTTCCAATACCCATATCATATAAATCCTATACGTATTTTTAATCCATGAATTGGGCATACAAAGTTTGGGCTGCCAATACTTGGTACTATCGAACCCTAAAGTCTAGATTCATCTACAGGGCATATATATACACACACATAACCGGAGATGACCGGTTACCATCTCCGCCGCACGAAAACCTGCGCCCTTAGGTTATACACTTATACACATATCATGACATATTTACCCAACGTTACTCTGCTGAAACGAACGAGAGGAAGACGACCGCCGCCGCATGTGTAAGTATTTGTGCGACCGGGATGCTGTATCATCGCTCAAGGAGGAAGAACAACCACCGGTGAGGGCTGAACCGACATCCATTTCGCCGGAGAAGAAGACCCAATTGCATGCTGGACTGGTTCACCTATACGTCGCCGAACTCGAACCAACAAAGACGCTAGAGACGGAAATACGTAGCAGATCCGCCGTCGCTGTGCGTGTTGATTCGTTTGCACTGGAGGGAAAAGAATCCATTGTTGCCGGACCAAGTTCTCGCCTCGCCGGAAGAATAAGGTCGTCGTTCACCAAAGGGGCCGGGGAACCAGTGGTGTCGCCGGAGTAGTAGACTGCAGAGGTCGCCATCACAGGAGGAAGACCGCTGCTGACCGCCAGCTGCCGCCGATGAAGCTGCGTTGACGCCTTACCCTTCTCTGCGTCAATATCGTCGAAGAAGGCAAACGGTAAGGAGCCACTTAATCCGTCCGTATCACGTTAGTTTGTTGGGCTTTTAATTAGTGCAATTGTATACAACAAATTAAACTGAGCCAGATCATTATATATGGTGGACTAGTTGATATCGATAATTGATTTTAGAATTTTAATATTCTTAATTAGGAGTTATCAAACGCGTAAAATATGGTGAAACTGAAGTTATAGCAACTATTAAAAGTATAGTTTTCTTCCCTAGTCATCTAGGGTTTGTGTCGCTGTAATTGTGATATCACTGCTTTGATTAGCTTTTCCGCCGTCTTTTGCTCATTGCTAACTTCATGACATCTGAGATGGAGGATTTGTATGCCCGAATGAATTTGGAGGATGTTGATCCGGATATAGTAGAGGTGGATGATCAGGCTCTGCAAGACGTGTCTGATAAGGCGTCACTTTGCATCGTTGGTCGTTTACTAACGGGTAAGCCCATCAAGTTCAACTTTTTTCGGGATACAATCGCAGATGTGTGGCAGCCGGGTAAGGGGGTGCATATCCGGGAGGTTGGGGATCGTAGATTCCTTTTCCAGTTCTTTCATGAAATAGATGTCCAACGTATCTTGTCTGACGGACCATGGTCATATGAGAACAGTCTTCTGGTTTTACGTAAATTGGATAGTGATGAGGATCCTGCTACTGTTCCTTTGCTCCATGAATCTTTCTGGGTTCAAATTTACAACCTTCCTATGTGTTACTTTACTGTAAGGACAGCCGAATTAATTGGTAACCGCTTAGGAAGCTTTGTACAGGCAGATGATAATAATTTCACAGGGGAGCGCAAAGAATTTATGCGTATCAGAGTTTCCTTAGATGTGAATAAACCTTTGAAGAGCAGGTTAACCTTGAAGAGGGTGTCAGAATCAGTTTTGGTCGATGTGAAATATGAAAGATTGCCACATTTCTGTTTTATTTGCGGGCTCATGAGTCACGTGGATAAGTATTGCCCTCGACGTTTCGTGGATGTGGTAGGAGACCAACAGAGACAGTTTGGTACCTGGTTAAGAGCAGGAGGGAGGAGGGGAAATGCTGGCAGAAGTAGCATATGGCTTGTGGATGGCAATGGTAATTTTCTGAATGATATAAAGGGAGTCAATGTGTCTGGCAGAGGCAGTGGTGAACTAGCTGTGATGGATGCGGGGGATATGCCGGCTAGGGAGGATACTCCGGTGGATTTATCTCATGCGGCAGGCGTGCTCTTGAAGAAGAGGAAGGCTGAGGTTTCGGTTGCTGGGATTAAAGCCTCAAATACTTCGGATTTGGAGTCAAAAAACGGAGAGACGGCGGGACCTGGTTCTCAGGCCCGCCTAGAGCCATGAGTTGTTTTAGTTGGAACTGTCGTGGGCTCGGCAATCTTGCGGCAGTTCAAGCATTGGTGGATTTGGTCCACCTTAAGAGGCCATCTTTGGTGTTTTTGATGGAAACGTTTTGTTCTTGCTCTAAGATTGAAAGTGTTATGAGAAAGGTTGGTTTGAGCTCCTGTTTTGTAGTTGACAGTGTAGGTCATAAGGGAGGATTGGCTCTCCTTTGGGAAGATGGAATTCATGTCCAGGTTCGTGGTTCATCCTCCAATTTTATTGATGTATGTGTGCAGATGGACAATGACGACCCTATTTGGCGTTTTACGGGTTTTTATGGCTTTCCGAAACGTAACAGGAGGAGAGAATCATGGGATCTTCTGAAAATGCTAGGGTCAGGCCCTCACCTACCTTGGTTAGTGATGGGTGATTTTAATGATCTTATGATAGCTTCTGATAAGCGTGGCCGTGTTCCTCACCCCCCTTGGTTGCTTAGAGGTTTCTGTGAAGCTGTCTGGTCGTGTGGATTACAAAATTTCCCATTCCAAGGTTACCAGTACACGTGGGAGAGATGGAGGGGATCCCCAAATTGGGTTGAAGAAAAGCTCGATAGGATTCTAGTGATAGGAGATTGGATGGATATTTTTGGGGGAGCGGTGGCAGAATCACTAGAAGGAGCTCCAAGTGACCATTTAGCTCTTTACATTAAATTGTCTGTGTCTCAGAAGTTTCATCGTCGTAGCAGGTTCAAGTTTGAGAATGTCTGGCTCAGGGATGAAGATTGTCGATCTATCGTGGCCAGAAGCTGGAGTTTGGGGTCTGGACATGGGATTATGCGACATATTGAGATTTGCAGTAAGTCCGTGGAAGATTGGGGCAGATCTAAGGTCGGCAATCTGGGGAAACGGATTGGCTATTGTAGAAGACGGCTTGAGTATCTACGTAAGTTTTCAGATGCATGGCACTTGGAAGTCTTTACGAGGGTTAAACACGAATATTTATATTTGTTGGAACACGAGAATTTATTTTGGAGACAAAGAGCGAAAGAATTTTGGTTCGAAGGAGGTGACCTTAATACCCGCTACTTCCATAATTCTGTCAAGCAGAGGCGAAGAAAAAATAAAATTGAGGGTTTTCGTCTGGAGAGTGGAGTATGGGAGACTGACAGAGCTGAGATCGGACGGTTGATTGGAGATTATTTTGTTAATATTTTTTCCTCTGTGCAGAATGCAGGTGATGTTGTGCTCCATTGTGTGCCCAAGAAAATTGATGATTCCCATAATGCTATTCTCACCAGACCGATCCGAGGAGATGAGGTTAAAGCGGCGGTCTTCGATATGTATCCGGATAAGTCTCCAGGACCAGACGGTTTGAGCCCTGGATTTTTTCAGCACTATTGGGACGTGGTGGGGCCTGAAGTGACAAAGTTCTGTAAAGAAGCCTTCCAGTCAGGTAAGCTTCCTGACCAGATTAATCATACTAATATTGTTTTAATCCCAAAAAAGGATAACCCAGAGGTTATTGGTGACTGGAGGCCCATCGCGCTGTGTAATGTCATTTATAAAATTTTTGCCAAGGTTTTAGCCAATAGACTGAAAGGTGTCCTGCATTTGTGTGTGTCTGAGCAGCAGAGTGCCTTTATTCCGGGCAGATCCATAATTGATAATATCATGATTGCTTTTGAATCTCAGCATTACTTAAAACGGAAGAATCAAGGCCATACTGGGTTTGTCAGTCTTAAATTAGACATGAGTAAAGCGTATGATAGGGTGGAGTGGTCATTCCTGGAGGGTATGCTTCATCATTTAGGATTTGGTGATAGGTGGGTTAGGGTTGTTATGGAGTGTGTTTCTTCGATTTCTTATTCTATACCTTTCGATGACACTGAGTTAGGACCTATTACCCCCACTCGTGGCCTGAGACAAGGCGATCCTTTATCCCCTTATTTGTTCATCTTGATTGCAGAAGGTCTGGCTGCCCTTTTGAAGCACCATGAGGCAGCAGGCCGTTTACACGGGGTGGCTATTGCTCGAGGTGCGCCCAGGATCTCCCATTTATTCTTTGCAGATGATAGCTTACTTTTCTTCAAAGCTACTCATGGGGAAGCTTCAGTTGTTAAGGAGATTCTGAACGACTATGCTCTTGCTTCAGGGCAGGTTATTAATTTAAATAAATCTAAAATCTTCTTTAGCTCGAATGTCTCGATGGAGTGTAGAGATGGTCTGAAGGAAATGTTAGGGGTGGGTATGGCAGGGAGTGAAGAACGATATCTGGGACTCCCAGCATTAATTGGGAGGAATAAGCATGCTATTTTATCTTATCTTCGTCAAAGAATGGTTAATCGCATTAATAATTGGAACAATCGTTTTTTATCTAAGGCAGGTAGGGAGGTGTTACTTAAGTCTGTTATTCAGGCCATGCCAACTTACGCCATGAACGTTTTCCTTTTACCGAAAGAGTTATGCAGGGAAATTGAAACTCTATTGAACGGTTTTTGGTGGCAAGGCAAAGCTAATAAGGGGATAAGGTGGTGTAATTGGAATTTTCTTTGCAGACCTAAGAAAGTGGGTGGTTTGGGGTTTAAAAAGCTTCGGGAATTTAATTTGTCCATGCTGGCAAAGCAGGCCTGGCGGATTTTTTTTGAGCCGGATTCCTTAGTCGGGAGGGTTTATAAAGCCCGATATTTCAGGGGTGGGAATTTTTTGACAGCTAAACTCGGTTCTAATCCATCGTTTATCTGGCAGAGTATATATCAAACGCAGGATATTATCAAACATGGGTATTACTGGCGGGTTGGCCAAGGAAGGGATATTAATATCTGGACCGAACCATGGCTCCCAGATAAAAATTCCCGAAAGGTGTCTTCGACTCCTATTCCTGGTTTGGAGTCTGCTACTGTTCATAGTTTGTTGAGTGAAGGTGGGACTGAGTGGGATCTGGATCTGCTTTATGACATTTTCGATCACAAAGATGTTCAGAGCATTCGTGGAATTCCGATTAGCATGAGGCGAATTGAAGATAAGGTGTGTTGGCGGGGGGAGGAGTCGGGATGCTTTTCTGTTCGGAGCTGCTATAGGCTTCTTGTTGGTGAATTGGAGGATGGGAGCTGGACGGGCTGGACTGCCATGTGGGGGTGGAAACTGCCTCCGAAGATTAAGAGCTTTTTCTGGCAATTGTGTTGTGGTTTCTTACCATTAACGGCAAACTTGAGGAGAAGACGTGTGAACTGTAACGAGGTTTGTGGACTGTGTGGTGCCAATGATGAATCTTTGCATCATCTTTTCTACTCCTGCTCAATCGCTGCAGAGGCTTGGGACTCTATTGGCTGGAATTGGGTGTCTGGTGTTGCAGCAACTTTCCTGGAGCGGATTCAAGCTGAATTTCAAGCAAAGAAGGAAGAGGAGTTGAGAAGGCTAATATGGGGTTGCTGGGGCCTGTGGTGTGAACGTAACAATCGGGTGTGGACTGATGTGCGGACTGATGCAAAGACAGTTATGCTAAAAGCTCAGATCTTTGTTGAAGGATGGAATCAAGCGCAAAAGGCAGTTCATGTCCAAAAGGATCGTGCTTTGTCTGGTCCTGGTGTTTGGAGGAAACCTTTACCTGGGAGGTATAAACTGAATGTTGATGCCGCGGTCAGGGAGAATTGCAGCGGGTTGGGTTGGATCCTTCGGGATGAGTACGAGGACTTTGTGTTAGGGGTCTCGAAGGTATGGCAGGGACAACTTTCACCATTGGAAGCAGAACTTGTTGGTATAAGGGAAGCCCTTAGTTGGGTTAAAGGAGCAATGGCTGGAGACATCAGAGAGCTTCGGAACTGTTTCAAGGAAATTTCTTTTTCTCACATTAAGCGATCAGCGAACAAGGCGGCCCATGGTTTTGCCCAAGTCGCGTGTTCTATGTCTGGTTGTACCTCTTGGAGCGTTTCTCCTCCGAGTTTTATTTTACATGTATTAAACAGTGATGCTATTAATGATAATTAAATCCTTTTCTCTCAAAAAAATATTCTTAATTAGAAGGTGACTTTGAAGAAGGTCAAGATAAAAGCTAACTTGGAATTATCGCGATTGAGGTAAGTTTCACATCAACCAAAATTATACCTTTTCCCTATTTATGATTATTGATTTGATATATTCGAGTATTTGATGAGATTTCTAGCAATTACATTTACGTATTAGTTGCGATTGAGATTTTTATTTGAGTATTTGGAATTACTTGTGGATTATTGAGATTATATTTTAGATTTGAGTATTGGATATTGAGTCAATTTTGAGCATTTGAGTTATCGTATGAATTGTTGTTGGGATTATATTTGAGATTTGAGCTATTTATGAAGTATTCTATATTTTGGTTCTTTTGTGAACTTTTAATGTATGGTACATTTGAGTGTAATTTGGTGGAGTTAATATTTTATATTGTGGATTATTTTGTGGAGTTGGATTTCATATCCGTTTTGGATGAGGTTGTGATATTGGTTTAGAACTTTGAGAATGAATTGTGATTTTGGTGAGCACCCGGAGAAAATCTGTGGTGTCGGTTTGCCACATCCGGATAAATGTGGTATTGGTGAGTGGTAATGGCTATAAGTCTAAATCCACCAGGGGTACTTCCCAAAAGCGGAGTATCCCAGCTTAATTGTAGTGTAGTTGGTAGAAAAATCCCGACTACTCGGGCTTCTTACTTCCCGGAGGGCTTGGAATCCCTTTTAGGGGGTGTGCACACTTAAGGTAAGAGTTCGGCTTTCACTGGACTTTGATTGGATTGGTTTTGAGACTTCAAGGTGAACTTGAATTGATATATTGGGATTGAGGTGAATATTATTTGATTGGATTATACTTGAGGTGAATTTGAATTGTTGGATTATTGGATTATACTTGGATTGGATTTGAGTTGGATTGATCGAGTTATTACACTATTCTTGGGTTTTTAGAGTACAAGTATATTTTGGATTTGATTCGGTTTGATTATGTTGAAAATCGTTTATAATTATTTATAAGTTTTTTTTTAGATGAATATTTGGAGTTTGATTTATGCTTTGGAATTATTGTAATAATATTTGGTGGTTTTAGGTATATTTGAAATACTATTATTTTACTCGTGAATTGTGTTATTAGAAGATTTTACAAATTGTTTTAAAAAGATTTTTCCTGCCAAATGTTTATTTTCAAATATATTAAATTATATTTTTTTATAGGGTTAGGTGGAACTTACTTAGCATTGTTGCTAATTTTTGTTTTCTTTTATTTTTTTCTGTACTTGGTTTTGTACAGGTGACACTCACTTTGATGACGATGTTGATTTCGAGAGAGCTTCCGCTAGAGAAAATGTAATTAGTTGATAACATTGTAGTTTAATTTAATTTTCAAGACAATTATTGAGTTTAATTATTTTTGTGGTGAGGATTAGCCTGTGCACTCGGTTAAGGGAGAACCGAGTGTGGCGGTAACACCCGATTTCCCTTTTGGTTTTCCGCTGCATAACTCTGAGGTTTTCAAACAATGTTGATATTTCTTTTGAATAAAGTATTATTTTTGGGTGGGAAATTTGGGGGTGTTACAATTGGAACCGCACCCTGTATATATAAATAATAATAAAGGTATAAAAATTTTTGAGCCCCTAATTTTTTTAGATCGTGATTCGTGAGTAGTGCTGGACCCGGTTCGGGCCGCCCGCCCCGGAACCGGCCCGGCCCGTTACTGTGTGGGCCCGGCCCGGCCTAGTTTTCCGGGTCCGGGTCCGGTTCGGGCCGGAGGCCCGGGGGTCCGGGTCCGGGCTCGGTTCAAGTTTTTGGGGGCCCGGCCCGGGTCCGGGCCTTTTTCAATTTTTTTTTTTTTGAATTTTTTTTACTTTTAGGTTTGAATAGCTATTTTGGGCCATTTGAGGTGGTTTGGGATGGTTTGGGGTTGAAGGGGAGGGGTAGGGGGTTAAATAGGAGAAGAAGAAAAAAAAAAAAAAATTAGAACCGGTAGGCCCGGCCCGGAACCGGCCCGGTTTGGCCCGGAACCGGCCCGGAACCGGCCTAACCCGGTTCGGGCTCGGGCCCCTAGTTTCAGGACCGGCGGCCCGGCCGGGCCTAGGCCCGAACCGGCCCGAGGCCAAGACTATTCGTGAGGCCCAAGTCTCACCTGCCTAAAGGAAAGTACTTGGTGATCGACTTGTGAGCTGCTAACAGCTGGCCGACCATTTTGCACAAAAGATTAAGGAAATGAGCTAATAACGTAGGTAAAATTACATTATTTGAACACAAAATTTGTATGTTTTTTGTACACGTTTGACGTTTCTTGTGTGGACAAGTGTCTTGTGTGGACAAGTGGACAACACTTGATTAACAATATCGATACTTGTATGATATTGCCTATGTACATAGGTTGTGACAAAATGTTTACAACAAGAATTACCCATAAATTATAGTGGTATTTGTTGTGGTTCTTCATTATTGCAAGAGATGTAATATACGGATACTGTTATAATTTTTTTGAGGGAGAAAGACCAAAATGGACACTAAGGTTATTTACAAAGTTCAAAATGGACACCAACCTTGTAAATAGATCAAATAAACCCATAATTTAACTTTTAGGGTCATTTGTGGACATCCCATTAAGGCATTAACTGACCAACCAAGACATATATAACCCCATTATTATTATTCGCATTCCTTCCGCCAAACATTCAAACTGGTCTTTTGAAGTGAATTTACACTTTTTAATAGTAAATTCAGATGTTATATCAAGCGACTCAAGCCTATGTTTGCAACATTTTTAGTTTGCAGCATTTGAATAATATTATTCAACTGATATAGCTGATATATGTTTGGGTCTCCGCATTGCCCAGTTCAGGTTGGAGTAGGGCTGCTGCAGGCCTGCAACTAATACCAATTGGAAGAAAGTATTTATCTTGCTAATCATAAGAGGCTCTACTTTCTGGGGACGCATTCCATCCAGGTTGAACTAGTCTATCCAACGTGTCCACTTTCATTCCAAACTGTTAGCTCTTTTGTAAAGAGCACCACCAACGAGGGCAACAAGTTCATGTTGTAAGAGACCCAATTTCAGCCTTTTATAGTAGTGCAACATTTTTCTTTTCCAAGCTTGCTATACTGTGCAGCCTTTTATATATGAGCTTTATGAGGTGTATCATGTGCAGCCATTTTAAGTTTTGTAAATATGTGTAGTAGAGGTTATTGGCAGGACACTAAGCAAAAGTGTCATCTGTTCTATGTGCATACTTTAACTAGTGTTTATTGGCATTGCAATAATCAAGAGTTTATTGCATTTTATAGCTACTGTTAGTTATTGATCAATGAGTTTATGTGTTGGTTTTTACTAATCCTATTAATCCATCCATATTGTAGTTATTGTTTTGTTTAATGTGTTTGGTAGAATTCTTAGAAGTGATTCTGGGACTTCTAACTGATCCATTTAAGAAGCGACTCTCCTAAACCGTATTATTTGAATTGGCTCTAATTAACATGGTTGTTGGTCTGTTACATTTCATAACAACAAATCTGCAATTTTTCCATTTTGAAGGTCTATTTATAAACAAATAGTGTTGTGATACACTGGATATATCAATTATCCGCCAACAGTAAGCTGGGTTCTGTTTTTAGTTTTGAATCAAAACCTCCAAACACCATTTAAGATAAAAATGATCATCGAAGTCATCTTTTAGAATCTTGGGTAAATTATCTTGGATGCTCATTGAACAATCAAATTCAGTAAGTTGGACATGTTCCAAACAGTTAAATTCAAAGTGTATTTGAATGAGCCAAACTAACATACCAACTAATTTCTTATGTTAAGATAAAACTGGTAGAAGCTTTGTAGAAGCTTACCAAATCAGTAAAAAGTTTTACAGAGATTCCACTTGAAGCTTTTTTTTTTTGATCGTCAGATTCTTGAAGCTTACAATCTAACTTTACACACAATCTACAAATACAAAATAACTAAAAAGTAAAAAGTACACATAATACTCCAATGAAAATACAATACAATATACTCCCTCCGTCCCCCTAAGTTTGGGACGGAGGGGTGTGGTGTGGTTTTTAAGAAAAAGTGGAATTGTGTGGTTGGTATTGAATTGATAAAGTGTAAATAAAGTAAGAATGAATTCTAACCACTCAAACTTTATCAAATAAGGTATGAGACAAACTTAGTGGGACGGACGAAAAAGGTAAAACGGGACAAACTTAGGGGGACGAAGGGAGTAACTAGGGGTGGGCATAACGGTTTGGTTTAACCGAACCGAACCGTACCAAACCGAACTAAACCGAACCGAAACCGAACCGTATGCAATTTGGTTTTAGTTTGGTACTATTTCTTTCAAACCGTATTAAACCGAACCGAACCGAACCGAAACCGATAAAAACCGAACAAAACCGAACAAAACCGAACCGAACCGAACAACACACACACACTTTGTATTTATCTTCACTCTTCATTTTAAGATATAAATAAAAAAATTTAGACATGAAAATGCATATTTAAGCATATACTCGTATTATTTTAACTTTTACACATTTCAAACATTCATTATGACAAAGTTAGCTAATACGACATATTTGTATTTATTATGGTTGGCGATATCAATAGCAAATTGTATTTATATTTCTATTTCTATTTCTGTGTGAGTCTTTGGTTTAGTTTGTTTCAATTGGTTTAGTAGGTGAAGGCAGGTTGTTTAAGCTAGGTTCTAGTATTTCATTTAGTTGGAATTTCAATTGGCAGGTTGTTTAAGCAGGTGAAGGCATGTTGTTCAATTGGTTTGGTGAAGGTTGGTTCTAGTATTTCATTTAGTTGGAATTTCAATGAAAACAAAACATTCAAAATTACTCATTTACTCAAAGTGGATTGTAACATATGAAACAAGACATAATCATTTTCAAGTTTATAAACCGAACATCAAACCGAACACCAAACCAAACCGAACCGAATTTTTCCCAAACCGAACCGAAACCAAACCGAAATTCTTTTGGTTTGAGTTTGGTACTATTTTCCTCAAACCGAATAAACCGAAACCGAACCGAAACCGATAAAAACCGAACCGTAAACCGATTCGCCCACCCCTAGGAGTAACAATCAAACAATCTCTCATTTTATTTCTTTCCCTTTCCAATGCCATATTCTCAGCTCTCTTGGAACTCCTCAATTCTTGAAGCTCATTAATATCATAATTCTGGACTCCAACTTTATCAAACCCCCTTGCACCTATGTCATGCTCTGGTTTCCGAATCTTAGACCATAGCTGTTTATTTTCCATTTTGAGCTCATTAATAACATATCTTGCCCTACCACTCAATGGCTCATCATACCACTCAAAGAATCCACAACCATCACTCTGCATATAATACGAAACATTTAAATTACAAACATAAATAAAACTATTTTTTTAAATAGATGAAGGTGCGAATGAACTAGGGTTGCTATCTTACTCTGCTAAATTTTTGGCACTGAAGGCCAGATTGAGAAGAAACTGAGGTTTCTGAAATGTCTTCTCCTTTTCCCCGACTACATCTTTCAGTTCCTACAACTTTAATTTTGAACTAAGGGGTGAGGATAAAAATGGGGTTGGGCAACAATAGGATTTTTCCGATTCCAACAATATGGTTTCTGTTGTGAAATGAAGAAGATGAAGAACAGATTTAAGAGATAGATATATTATTTATAACCTCTAAATAACTTCTTCTTTTATCTCTGAGATTTCTGATTTTCTGAATTCATTTACAAGACTTCATCAAGCTCCTATTTATAGTGTTTGAGCTTGATGATTAGTCACCTAAATGATGAGTCTACAGATTTGGTGGCAATAACAAATTGAGCCACCTGTTCTAACTAGGTTACAAGGATCATTACAAGGATGATGAATGGCTAGGTGTCCTAATGACAAGGATGAACAATTCACACATGTGTTTCTCAGGAATTTACAACACTCCCCCTTGAATGTTCATCCTTGAATATGTATTTGTTGTTTTTAAAAACTTATTGTGAAAATTAAGGGGTAAAGATTACGACTTATAATGTCGTTGTATTTGGATGTACTGTCTCGTTAAAAACCTTATCAGGAAAAACCCAGTGGGATAAAAACCTGATGAAGGGAAAAAGAGTGCAGTGCATTCAAATACTCCCCCTGAATTTAACATAAATTATTAAGGCGGCGCATGCCGATTTTCTGTACAAGTTCCATGAACTTCTTCGGGGGTAATGATTTGGTGAAGAGATCGGCTGGATTTTCACTGGATCTGATTTGTTGAATGTTGATCGTCCCTTCTTTCTCAAGGTCATGAGTAGAGAAAAACTTTGGAGATATGTGCTTCGTTCTATCTCCTTTGATGTAGCCTTCTTTAATTTGAGCTATGCATGCGGTGTTGTCTTCGTAGATCACAGTCGGGTGACAACTAATAGCTTTCATACCACATTCATCTTGGATGTGTTGAATCATAGATCGCAGCCACACACATTCTCTCCCGGTTTCATATAGTGCAATTAATTCAGAATGATTTGATGATGTAGCTGTCAATGTCTGCTTCATAGATCTCCATGAGATTGCGGTGTTACCATAAGTAAATACGTACCCGGTTTGTGATTTCGCCTTTTGAGGATCTGATAAGTATCCAGCGTCCGCATATCCGATTAAAGAAGCTTTTGCATCTTTGTGGTAGAATAGACCGAGATCAATTGTACCACGGAGATAACGGAATATGTGCTTGATCCCGTTCCAATGACGTCTTGTTGGACATGAGCTGTACCTAGCTAATAAATTTACAGAAAATGCAATATCTGGTCTAGTATTATTAGCTAAATACATTAAAGCTCCAATAGCACTCAGATATGGTACTTCGGGACCGAGTATTTCTTCGTCGTCTTCTCGGGGACGGAATGGATCATCGTGTATGTTGAGAGATCGAATGACCATTGGTGAAGTCAATGGATGAGCTTTGTCCATATAGAATCTCTTCAACACTTTCTCGGTGTAATTGGATTGGTGGATGAAAATTCCATTCTTCAAATGCTCAATTTGAAGTCCGAGACAAAATTTGATTCTCCCGAGATCTTTCATTTCAAATTCTTTCATAAGATATTTTGCAGTATTTTCAATTTCATCGGGAGTTCCAATAATGTTTAAGTCATCAACATATACTGCAATTATGGCGAATCCCGAATTTGATCGCCGAATGAAAACACATGGACTAATTGGATCATTCTTATATCCTTCTTTGAGAAGGTATTCACTGAGACGATTATACCACATTCGTCCAGATTGTTTTAGTCCATACAATGACTTCTGTAATTTAATGGAAAACATGTCTCGAGGTTTCGAGCTATAAGCATCAGGCATTTTAAATCCTCCAGGAACTTTCATATAAATGTCTGTATCGAGTGAACCGTATAGATAGGCGGTCACTACATCCATTAGGCGCATTTGCAACCTTTCAAAAACAGACATGCTAATGAGAAACCTTAATGTAGTTGCATCAACTACTGGAGAATAGGTTTCTTCATAATCGATTCCCGGCATTTGAGAAAAACCTTGGGCAACAAGTCGGGCTTTATATCTAACAATTTCATTTTTCTCATTGCGTTTACGCACAAATACCCATTTAAAACCCACAGGTTTTACGCCTTTTGGCGTAGGGACTATCGGTCCAAAAACATCACGTTTTTCAAGTGATTTTAATTCAGCCTGAATAGCTTCATTCCATTTTGGCCAATCGTGTCGTTTCCGACATTCTTCTATTGATGTTGGCTCATTGTCATTGTTTTCATTCATAACATTTGTGGCAACGGCATAGACAAATATCTCATTAATATCAATATCTTTTCGATTCCATTGCATTCCAGTAGAAACGTAATTTATTGAAATTTCATAATTATCAACGTTTCTATCAATATCTGGAATATCTTCCTCATTTAAGGAAGTTGAATCATTATTTGAGATGTTTGTTTTGTCAATATCATTTTCTATGCCAGTATTTTCAAATTGTTCATTTTCTTGTTCAGAAGGATGAACATCTTTGACATCACAGATCAATTCCTGCCTTTTAGTCTTTCTTGGTTTTATGTCTTTTGATCCAAGTGGCCTGCCACGCTTTTTGCGTATAGAAGAATCATTTGCGAGAGATTTTTCAGAATTCTCCGCTGGAATTTCAATTCTGGCAGGGGCATTCATAGCAGGAATATGTGACTTTGTCACTTTCTTTGTGTCTGTGAATGCATCAGGCAACTGATTTGCAACATTTTGTAAATGGATTATCTTTTGCACCTCTTGCTCACATA